GGTTTTCCAAAAAGATAATGAGGAGTTCTTCAATTTAGATCTAGTACATGTGAATTATTTGAGATCAAGGTAATGGTATGCTACTTAGAAGTACTTTTTTACACCTAAATTATTCCTCGTAATAGATGAGGCCGAATCAGTAGCTTGACTTGAAAACAATGACTAATGTTTCTCAGATACTAGTGTTACTATCTCTTAAGTTTCTCTTAAGTTTCTCTTTTTCATGGATTCTTGAGTTTACTTATCCTATTAAGTTATTGGAAAAAATAATAGTTAATTGATTTTTTTCTAAAATAAATATCAAATTATACTGAACATCCTACCCAGATTTGAAACAACAAATTATTATATAACTTCACAATTTAATTAAATTATTTGATGCCATGTTAAATCGCTTAAGATTGTTATCCGTTAGTCTTTTTTTAAATTTTCTATCGTGTCAAAGTTATGATTCTTTAACAAATCAAAAAGAATAGGATATTTGAGATTCACTGCATATATGTTGTCTCTTTACAGACAGAGTTTGTATGAAAAATATTTATTTGTTCAGGAATAATAGTATTGATGATAATCACATAGCACATTATTTCGTATTTTTCTCCTCTTAATTTAAAAAAATATATTTTATTATTTGGTTCTTATTGTTTAAGATGCTGCTTGTAATTTGATGTTTGTTTCTTGTCATTCTTAGGTTCCATCTATATTGATATGATACTGACGTGGGAAGTCTTCTTTACTTCATCAAGCCTTGATGAAATTAGATGAAGTGAGAATTAATTTACAAACAAAATGAACAACATAAAAATTGAAAATATGCCTTGCAATTTATCATATAAAAATCAAAATTTAAAATTATCCTAAAGCATATATATTATAATAGTTAGTATCTTAATTACCAAAATTTCTTTTAATAGATAAAAATATATAATTTGATACTGTAATATGTTTTGCAAAATCAACAATATATTCACTTTTATCTCAATCTGATTACGCTGACGTTAAGCTATTGTTATATTTGCAAAATCAAGTGATAGAGCTAACTGAAACGCTTACGATTATAATGTTAAAGATAATAGTTCATAAATATCAAAATAATAGATAAATCTTCAAATTCTATTGATAAAGTATTTCAAACACATGAAGTATCAGGTAATGAATATCCTCTCTAAAAAATGAGCAAAATGTTAGGAATAGAGCAGTTCTCACGCGCATAAGGATATTTATTCTCAAAAGATATAGTAGATTTATGTTCTAAAATAGCTTTTATTCACTTTCAAATCAAGTTTCTTCAATTTATTTAATAGCCATTCTTACAGATCCTGAATTTCTAAAGTACCATATTTATTGTATTTTTACATAAAAATAGAATCCCCTAAATTGTTCAATCAAAATCAATATTTTTGGCTATAAAAGTCACAACAAATTAATTCTAATTGATAATTTATTTTCAAGGGGATTGAGGATAATCTTTTCAAATTAATCTAAATATTTTTTTGTCATAAGCATTCCTAATCAAATATCTAAAAATAACTCCAAATTCATTAATAATCAGGGTCATTAATATCCAGGTGACCTAAATTTGCTTTCTTAAATTATTAAAAATCTGCGATAAAGGAGTCAAAAAGATATTACAATCGTTTTTTTCAAAGTTTTAGGTACTAATTAATAATTCAAGATAAATTATTGGTTAGATAAATTATAAATTTTTAAATTCCCCATGAAACTCTTTATTCTATGGGGTAAGCTATTAATTTGTATTTGATTATATTGGAGTTAGCAAATGCTTGAGGAGAATTGAACAAAGTGCCATTTTACATTATTGATGGAAAAATATATTGCCAACGCCTTTATAAATTAGGGAAATTATTTATTCCATTTTCTAAAAATTAATTCGGCTTTGCTTTCATCTGTAATAACACTATTAAAATGTCCAAGATTTATTAAATAGTTCAAATAACTTCTACAATACAATATCTTTTAATTGAAGTATAATAATTTTGTAAAATTATAAAACTTTTTATTCTTAATAATAAACCAATAAATACAAAAAATTATTAATGAAATTACAATTATTTAAAAATATTATTTCAATTATATATTTGATTTTTCTGTGTATTTTTATTTCTTTTTTATAATCCTAATTCACTTACAGCCATGCTCCAATTTTTACTATGTGGATCAAATTCACCTTGAAGAAGTAAAATTTTTCTTAGTAAACTAGCCATCCAACTCTTTCCACTAACCAATCTTAACTTCAACACCTTTTTCTTGTAATCATATGATCAACCACCACTAAGAACCATTTTTATACAATAATTTACATTTTGTATATTCGCCAGGCCATAATCTCTAAATTACCAACTTTTTTACTATTTTATATAGGCCGATGTAATTCAAAAATAAGTCAGGTCCAAATTTGAAAACTTTCTCCTTCCAAATGCCAATCTTAACTTCATCACCATTACTTTCATATTCTCCACCACCGCTGCCACAATTTAGTATAAGATATTTACATTGTACAATTAGTGCCATTATAGAGCTTATATAAATTCCAACATCCAATTTTTTTACCATTTTTGTATTCGGCACTATGAATTATTAGATTCTCACAATAAAACTTTTTTAATCCAACACACACCATTCACCAAACTTAACACCTATTCTATTATATTATCCCCCTCCACTATAACAAATTCATAATTGATTATTTACATTACAAATTATTCTTCATAAGTGTCGTACCTATAATATCCCACCTTCATCATCAGAAGATCCCCCACCACTAAGGACAGTATACATTATTGTTTTCATTTTTAATTTATATCCAAATGAATCACAAAACTAAATATCCCACCAACCTACTTTTTTCCATTTTAATATTCACCACTATGCGTAACTAATTTTTCAAATAAAATCATCATCCAACTCAATTCATTTGGCAATCTCAATTCCTTCATCATATGATCCACCAACATTATAAGGTTCTATATGTCTTATAACAATTGTATTTCCTTAAATATCCCATTAACAAACCTTTTTACCATTTTTATATTCCCCTCTATAGGTTACTTATTGTTAAGTAGAAAGTCCATCATATAACTCTATCTACTTTCCAACCTCTACTCCATCATAATAAGATCCCTCACCACCTCTATTTCACTAAATATTTCTTTTTTTTTCAACAAATTTCCATCATATTTTTACACCAATTAGGAACCTTTTTACCATTGTTATATTTACCACTGCAGATGAGTTATTTACCAAGATAAGATCCATCATCCAATTCAATCCACGTGCCAATCTTAATTCCTTCATAATAAAATCCGCCACCAATATATCCTTTTATTTTTATTTCTTACATTAATCTCCTTCGT